AGTGTTCTTTAACCCTTCAATATCGTGAGCATGCTATTTAATGAGAATTAACTTTCCACAAAGAACTCATGAAATGGGAATTAAAAATAGTAAGCAGAGGCTGATTTAGATTAAAAGAGGCATAACAACCAAAGTTAACACATAAAGACTGTTTAAAGCCAGATTTAAAACAAATTTTTTTCAGATAATGAGGAAATGTGATACTATTCAGATAAGAGTAAGGAAACTCAACTAAGGGCTACATATGAGCTGACACCAAAGAATCACTGCTAAATTTGTCAGATATGATGAGAGAGTGGCTGTTCAGGAATGCACACTGAACAGATAAAATAATGTGATGACTGCGATTTGCTTTATAATATTCCTGCAAAGGGAGGTAAAAGAATAGCAGAACAAAATGTGGACAATCTTAATGATCACAGAAATTGAGGAATGGGTATTTTAGTGTTTATTGTACTATTTTCTCTACTTTTGAATAGGTATAAAAACTCTAATTTAAAAATGTTAAAAAAAAAATGGTCAGGAGCAGCGACTCACTCCTATAATTCCAGCACTTTGGGAGGCCGAGGCAGGTGGATCAGTTGGGTCAGGAGTTAAGAGACCAACATGGTGAAACTATTTCTACCAAAAATACACACACAAAAAATTAGCCAAATGTGGTGACAGGAACCTGTAATCCCAGCTACTCAGGAGGCTGAGGCAAGAAAATCACTTGCGCCCAGCAGGAAGAGGCTACAGTGAGCCAAGATCATGCCACTAGACTCCAGCCTCGGCAACAGAGTGAGAATCTGCTTAAAACAAAAACAAAAACAAAAATAAAGTAAAAATTAATTTACTATTCCCTGCTCTGAATCCACATCCAAACAGAATTCTAAAAAGAAAGATTCTAGCAATTGACATGGTGCTATTTATATAGAGATCTCCCTTGCACCTTTGTATGTAAATTTAAATATTTTGCAACCTGATGGCTGGGAGTGGTTATAAGCTGGGCATGGTAACACATGCCTGTAGCCCCAGCCTCTTAGGACACTCAGTCAGAAGGATAACATGAGCCCAAAAGTTCTAGTCACACCCAGACAACATAAAGAGACCTGGTTTCTTTAAAAAGAAATGGGGAGCTGTGAGGAAGCTCATTGATGAATTATTTTGGTGATATCAACAAGTGCTATCACAACACTACTACAAAATCCAAAATTACATCGACTGCCAGATTTTTCTCCTTACTTCTGGACTCATTTATCCAATTGCCTCCTCTACCTCCACACCTCAACTTGAAAGAAATTAATTTCTTTGTTCTTAGATTGGCTTGCCTCTAACATCTAAGATTTGTATTAAATTCTTACTTCATGTTATTAGCACCCAATCTGAAAGGATCTAGTATAGGAACTCTTTGGAATAAGAAACACACAAAATGAAATAGTTATCATATCTGTAAAAAGAAATATGCCCATAAACAAACAACGGTAAAAACTTAGAGGCTTTCAGTCACACTAAAGAATGATGTTAAATAAAATTATTCTGTCAATTCAACAAGAAACTATATAAACCTAATTCTAACAAGCTTTCTATAAAATAAAAAAAGAACCAATTGTCAGAGCTGAGTAAAAAGTGGAAGTTTTAGAAAGAGGTGAAGTCAACTACAGAATGTGCCCATCGCATATCATAAAGGCTGCCCCAATCACACCCATCCCCCTTATTCCACCTAGTGTCACCAGAGGTCAGGAGTTCAAGACCAGCCTGGCCAACATAGAAAAATCCCTTCTCTACTAATAATACAAAAATTAGTCTTGTATGGTGGTGGGCAGCTGTGAGGCAGGAAAACTGCCTGAACCCAAGAGCCAGTGAGCCAAAATCACACCATAGCACTCCGACCTGGGGGACAAGAGTGAAAACTGTCTCAAGAAAAAGAAAAACAAATTCCTTTGGGAAGGCTTTCTTCATAGAGATCTTCAACATGACACTGGAAAAAAGGGTATGGAATCATCACCGGACCTTTGGCTTTTACACCTTGAGGTATGAGGACAAAAAGGAAGAGGGATATCATTTAAACACAATTTGCAGCAAAGAATAATTATTGAATCTGTATTGCTCTTTAACTTTCTTTTCTTGAAACAGAGTTTCACTCTTGTCACCCAGGCTGAAGTACAGTGGCTCGATCTCGGCTCACTGCAAGCTCCATTTCCCAGGTTCAAAAAATTCTCCTGCCTCAGCCTGCTGAGTAGCTGAAATACAGGAGCCTACCACCACCCCCAGCTAAGTTTTGTATTTTTTGTAGAGACAGAGTTTCACCATTCTGGCCAGGCTCGTATCGATCCCCTGACCTCAGGTGATCCGCTCATCTCAGTCTCCCAAAGTACTGGGATTAGAGGGATGAGCCACTGAGCTGCCCGAGCACTTTCTTATGTTATTAAATGGCCTAACCCAGGTGGGGGCAGTGGCTCACGCCTGTAATCCCAACAACCTTGAAAGACAAGGTCAGAAGGTTGCTTCAACCTAAAAGTTCAAGACCGGCCTGATAATAAGATATCTGATTATATTCTAACATAGCTAGACCACCCCTCATCTCTACAAAACTTAAGCCAGGTGTGCACCGCACCTGGCTAATTTTTATATCTTTTGTAGAGACAGGGTTTCATCATGTTGCCCAGGCTGGTCTCAAACTCCTAAGCCCAAGCCATCCTCCCGCCTCTGCCCTAAAAGCGCTGGGATTACAGGGCTCAGGGAGCCTCATGTTTTCTTTAAGCAGTCTACTACTCTTGCACACTTGGAGAGTTTTCTTTTTGTTCTTTTAGGCAGGGTTTACCTCAGTCTCACAGGTTGGAGTTCTGTGGTAGGATCATAGCTCATTGCAGCCTTGAACCCTGGGGTTCAAGTAGCTGGGAGGCTGAGGTGGGACTAAAGATACAGGGTCACACCATGTTGCCCAGGATGTTCCTAAACTCCTGGACTGTAGGGATTCCTCCTACCTCAGCCACACCTGGATACAGTTTTCTATTTTTGACCTACATAAACACTGTACCGGGTCAGAGTTTGTCAACTTCCCTTTTCTATCCAGCAACACACAGGACCCAGCTGAGACACTGCAGTTACCAGGCTTCACTCTGAGAAGAAGATGACACATCTCCAGGCCTTGTACTGTCCTTGTGACTTCCCTGAAAACCCACCCTTGTGACATCACAGACACCCCCTCAGATGAAGCCAATCAGAACTCTAAAAGAAAATGTCAGTTGCATACCAGTCAGATGTGGGCAGTGTTCATGTTTCAAAAGCTAACACTGGCATGACTGACTTAGTGTTGGACCCAGAAAAATTTAAAAGTGAAAGATAAAAATATGTAAAGTAGGCTGAGTACAATGGCTCATGCCTGTAATCCCAACACTTTCACAGACCGAGGCAGGTAAATCACAAACTCAGGATTTTGAGACCAGCATGGCCAATAAGGAGGCTGAGGAAGGAGAATTGCTTGAACCCAGGAGGAAGAGACTGCAGTCAGTCGAGATCATGCCACTGCACTCCAGGCTGGGTGACAAGAGTGAAAGCTTTGTCTCAGAAAAAAAAAAAAAATCCTTTGGGAAGTCCTTCTACATTAAGATCTTCCACATGAGACTGGAATAAAAGTACAAGATCATCCTGGACCTTTGGCTTTTACAGCTTGAGCTGTAACTGAAAAAAAAAAAAAAGAGATATCATTTAAATACCAGAAGAAAAGAATAATTATTCAATCTGTATTGCTCTTTAATTTTTTTTTTTTAATGAAGTCTTGCTCTGCTGCCAGGTGGGAGTGCAATGGCACAATCTCAGCTCACTGCAACCTCCATCTCCCATGTTCAAACAATTCTCCTGCCTCAGCCTCCTGAGTATTTGGGACTACAGGTGCCTGCCACCATGCCCAGCTAATTTTTGTACAGACAATGGAGACGGTGTTTCACCGTATTGGCTAAAATGATCTTGATCTCCTGTCCTCATGATCCACCCGCCTTGGCCTCCCAAAGTGCTAGAATTACAGGCATGAGCCAGCATGCCCTGCATTGCTCTTTAACTTTTATAATTTGTTCTTTACTTCTATTATTGTATTTGAGTCCAAAAAATAGTATGAAAAAAATAAAAAGAACCTCCAAAATGCTAATATTCTGATTATCAAAGTCTACAGTAAAATATGCCATTACAGCTGAATGCGGTGACTCACACCTGTAATCCAGCACTTTGGGAGGCTGAGGTCAGTGAATCACATGAGATCAGTAGTTCAAGACCATCCTTGCCAACATGGGAAAACCCATCTCTACTAAAAAGACAAAAACTACCTATGTGTGGAGCCAGGTGCCTGCAATCCCAGCTACTCGGGAAGCTGGGGCAGGAGAATCACTTGAACCCAGGAGGTAGATGTTACAGTGAGCCAAGATGATGCCATTGCACTCTAGCATGGGGACAACAGGGAAATTCCAGCTCAAAAAAAATTAAATAAAATAGAGAAAGAAAAAGAAAGAAATAATCCCATTATTAAAGCCAATGTAGATACACCCAGACTTTCTACAACAGTCTGAACCAAATTATAAGGCCAGAGGAACATACTGGCTAATGTTATTTAATATATACAGTACTAAATGGAAAATGTAATATTTTCAAAACATAAACATTAGTGTAACCTTATTGGACTTATAAAGATAATTTTTTAACTAATAAAAACAGAAGATTCTCCTGAACTGCAACATCTCAGCTAGCATTTATTTACTCAAGACTGAAATAATACAACATCTATAAAACGTCAAGAGCTGGGATGGGCACTGTGGCTGATACTTGTAATCCCAGCACTTTGGGAGGCCAAGGTGGTCAGATCACCTGAGGTCTGGAGTTCGAGACCAGCCTAACCAACATGGAAAAATCCCGTCTTTACTTAAAAGAAAAAAAAAAAAATTAGCTAGACATGGTGGTGTACACCTGTAATCCCAGCTACATGACAGACTGAGGCAGGAGAATTGCTTGAACCCAAAAGGAGGAGGTTGTGGTGAGCTGAGATCAAGCCATTGCACACCAGCCTGGGCAACAAAAGCGAAATTACATCTCAAAAAAAAAATAAAATTCAAGAGCTAGTCATTGAACAGGCTCAAACCTATAACCCCAGCACTTTGCAAGGCCTAGGTGGGTGGATCACCTGAGGTCAGGAGTTCGAGACCAGCCTGGCCAACATGGTGAAATCCTAGCTCTACTAAAAATACAAAAATTAGCCCAGCATGGTGGCACTTACCTGTAGTCCCAACTACTACGGACACTGAGGCAGGAGGATCGCTTGAACCTGAGCGGTGGACATTGCAGTGAGCTGAGATCATGCCACTGCCCTCCACCCTGGGTGACAGAGCAAGACTCTTTCAAAGAAACAAAAAATGTCAAGAGCATGGGAAGTAGTAAAATTAAACATAACCAACAATCTCCCATCAGAATAGCTCCATTTTTTGCTATCATTATGTGTTAAAGTCTATTTGCTAAACATTGACATTTGTACTAAAGTTGCAAGTGCACCATATAACACATTAGTGCTGAGTGAAATTTAATACCCTTTGCTGTACACTAAACTTGAATATCATACTTACAGAGCAAAACAAAAGTATCTTTCCCTAAGGTAATTACCACTAATGCTGCTTTAAAATTATAAAATGTGAAGATTTTTTATAATGTCACAACAGCTGCAAATTATTGTCTTTAAATAATCTAATAAATCACCATCACAAAAAAGCCCCAAAACATAATCTATTTCATCTTATAAAAAGCACTTACATTTATAAACTGTTAGAGTCAATTTATAAAACTTTAATAGCAAATTATTTTTACTTAGAATAGTACTAAATTAACCACACAATAAAAACATAGGCCAGGTGTGGTGGCTCACACCTGTATCCCAGCACTTTGGGAGGCCCAAGGAAAATGGATCACTTGAGGTCACAAGTTCCAGATCAGCCTTGTGGACATGGGGAAATGCCACATCTACTGAAAATCAGGCAGGCGTGGTGGTGGACACCTGTAGTCCCACCTATTCAAGAAGCTGAGGTTCACTTGAACCTGGGAGGTGAAGGTTGCAGTGAGCCAAGATCGTGTCATTGCATTCCAGAATGGGTGACAAGAGCAAAACTCCAGCTCAAAAAACAAAATCCCATTACTTTAAGCCAATGTAGATACAGCCAGACTTTCTACAACAATATGAACCACATCAAAAAGCCAGAAAAACACACCATCTCATATTATGTAATACATATAGTACTAGATGGAAAAGGTAGTATTTGCAAAACATAAACATCAGTGTAACCTTACTGGACTCGTAAAAACACTTACTGGAGTTATAAACATAATTTTCAAAAGTACCAGAAACAGAAGATTCTCCTGAACTACAACATTTGAGCTAGCATTTATTTACTCAACATTAAAATAATACAACAGGTATACAAAGTCAAGAGCTGGGCCGGGTGTGGTGGCTCACAACTGTCGTCTCAGCACTTTGGGAGGTCGAGGCAGGCAGATCACCTGAGGTCAGGAGTTCAACACCAGCCTGACCAACATTAAATACCCTTGTCTCTACTAAAAATGCAAACTTAGCTGGGCATGATGGCACATACCTGTTATCCCAGCTACTCGGGAGGCTGAGGCAGGAGAATTGTTGGAACCCAGGAGGCGGAGGTTGTCATGAGCCAAGATCGCACCATTGCACTCCAGCCTGGGCAACAAGAGTGAAACTTCATCTCAAAAAGTATATAAATAAAATGAAAGTCAATCACTGGCCAAATGTGGGTGGCTCATACTTGCAAGCCAGGGCAAGTGGATCATTCAAGGACAGGAGTCTGAGAGCAGCCTGGCCAACATGGTGAAACCTCATCTCTACTACCTACACAGAATTTAACTGGGCATGGTGGCAGGTGTCTGTAATCCCAGATTCTTGGGAGGCTGAGGCAGCCAGATCACCTAAGGTTAAGAGCTCAACACCAGCCTGACCAACAGGGTGAAACCCCACCTCTACTATATAAAAATTAGATGGGCATGGTTGTTTGTCCTGTAATCGCAGCTACATGGGAGGCTGAGGCAGGAGAACTGCTTGAACCCAGGAGGTGGAGGCTGCAGTGAGCTGAGATCACACCACTGCACTCCAGGATGAGTAACAGAGCAAAACTCCATCTCAAAAAAAAAAAAAAAAAAAGAATAAGAAAGAAAACATTTGCTATGGGGAGACCAGAAATATGATCTGCTGGCAATCCTTCCATTTTAGGAAATCTCAACAGTGGGAGTCCATTCTGTTTTGTCCCTCTACATTCCAGAAACAAAACCAGTAACCAAATCCATTCTACTTCTTTCAAAACACATCTAACAATTAAGAGATGTTATGCATGTCTGCATACTCTAAGAGGAAACCTTATGTCCTGGGTATCACAGACAGTTGATGAAGGCTCATTCATTTGACTGGTATAGACTTCAATAATAAACTGTTCAATGCACTATGCCAGATAAATATTGCATCTCAGAAGTAGAACAAATACTGTTATTTTAGTTCTGTCTACACATAAATGCAGTATTTGTACATATTTATAATGGGTTAATATAAACAAACTGAGTTAATTGTTCTAGAGAGTAACAAAATTTGGACAACACGAATTTTCCTGTCCTGGCACATAATTAGTAGTTAGAGGCATTTTATTTCACGTGAAAGGTACCATTAAAAAATCAATGGTAAGCATTAATTATTGCACACAATCTTCTCATCTGAGTTAATACTGAAGACCTACCTCCTGAAGCTGGTTTATCAAGTTGTAAATCCTCACGTGTAGAATTAATAAGTTCATGTCTGAAAGGTGAGAATAAACATTAAATACTCACTATGCAATATTCAGAAAAGTAATATCCACTAGTACATATTTAACATTTAATCATCAAGGGTGCTTTTGAAAAGAAAAAACACGCTGGGGGTGGTGACTAAGACATGTAATCCCAACACTTTGAAAGACCGAGGCAGGCAGATCACAGCTTGAATGTTTGAGACCAGCCTGGCCAACATGGTGAAAACCCATCTCTATTAAAAACACAAAATTTAGCCTGGAGTGGTGGCAGGTGCCTGTAATCACAGCTCCTCAGGAGGCTGAGCCAGGAGAATTGTGTGAACCCAGGAAGCAGAGGTTGCAGTGAGCCAAGATCATACCACTGCACTCCAGCCAGGGTGACAGAGCAAGACTCTGTCTCAAGAAAAAGAAGAAAATATCATCTGAATGCTTGAGCACAACTAAATCTACAGAGTAACAAAACAAAATAACAATTGCAAATTGTCTCATCAGTTGCTTCATGGAGCATGTGTCCTCACAAGTAAAGTGGTAACTGGGAAACATACAGCTCTTTTGAAGCATACTACAAATACCTTTTATGGGATCCTTTAATATCACATTGTGTTCAAGGCTATCTCCTGCTAAACATCTATAAATACAATCATATATTCCCTCATATGCCTTCAAAGTCTCAGGCCTAAAAATAAGACATGGATACTATTTTCTCTCATCTACCAAAAGAAAAAAGGAAAGAGACAAAAGAGAGAGATAACCAGGTATGGTGGTTCACACCTGTAATCCCAGCAGTATGGGAGGCCAAGGCAGGTGGATCACTTGGGTCCAGGAGTTTGATACCAGACTGGGCAACATAGTGAAACAGTCTCTACTAAAAATACAAAAATTAGCTGAGTGTGGTGGCATGTGAAGGTAGTCCCAACTTCACAAGAGGCTGACATAAAAAAATCATGAGGGTCTGGGAGTTTGAGGCTGCAGTGAGCCATGATCACACCACTGCATTCCTGCCAGGGCGACACAGTGAGATCTTGCCTCTAAAGAAGAAATGTTGGTGAAAATGTAGAAACTGGAACCCACATACATTACTGGTGGGAACATAAAATGGTTTAACCGCTTTCTTTGGGTGTTTCTTTTCTTGTCATTTTCATTTTATTTTTTAAAATAAAGACAGGGTCTTGCCATCTTACCCAGACTGGTCCTTTTTTTAACTCATAGGCTCATGTGATCCTCACACCTCAGCCTCTCATGTAGCTGGGATTACAGATGTGAGTCACCACACCTGACTGGTATAACTGTTTTGGAAAACAGTTTCTCAAAAGCCTAAATGTACAGTATCATAGAATGCACTAATTTCTCTCCTAGGCATATATCCCAGAGAAATAAAAATATTATGTCCACACAAAAACTTGTACATGAATCTTCAGAGCGGTATTATTCATAATGGCCAATGCATGAAAACAACCCAAATGTTCATCAACTGATGAACAGATAAATACAATGTAGTGTGACTCTACCTTGGAGTATATTGTTCAGCCATAGAAGGAGAGAAATACTGACACATGCCATGACATGAAGAAACTCTGTAAACATTGTGCTAGGAGTGAAAAAAAAGCCAGCCACCGAAGATCCCCACATATTGCACAATCCTCTTTATGTAAAAGGTCCAGATTATGCAACTCTATAGTGACAGAAAATACATCACCGGTTGCCTATGGGAGCACAGGGGTATAGGGGGAGTACAAACTAATGGCAAAGAAATGTATATTTCTCTATAGGGCAATGAAAGCTTCTAAAATTGATTGTGGTGACAGATGAACAGCTCCATGAATACTCTAAAGACCACTGAATTGCATACTTTGATGAATGAAGTGTAAGGTATGTTAACTATATTTCAATAAAGCTGTTATTTAAAATAAATAGGGGGCTGGTCACAGCTGGCTTGTATCTGCATATAATCCCAGAATTTTGGGAGGCTGAGGCAGGAGGACCACTTGAGGCCAGGAGTTAAAGACCATCCTGGGCGACACAGCATGATCCCATCTCTACAATAAATAATAATAAAAAAATTAGCTTTGCGTGGTGGTGTACATCTGTAGTCCCAGCTACTTGGGAGGCTGAGGTGGGAGTATTACTTGAGTTTGAAACTATAGCAAGCCGTGATTACACCTCTGCACTGCAGCCTGAGTGACGGAGCAAGAAAAAAAAAAAAGAAAAGAAATGCAAGGACTTTGTGAGAGTAACCAAGTTTGAGGAGAAACAGAAGAACAAAACAGCACTGGATGTTGAGGGTCGCTGGCTGGCGAGGTGCAGCTGCTAACTGGCTTCTGAAAAATTTGTTAGTAAAATTACAGCTCTGGGGATGAGTCATGCAGTCAAATGATGAACGTTAAATCCTTTACAAATGCTCATCTTTCTTTACATGCCTTCTAGTGAAAAATTCCTAAGGGCCTACATAGCAAGTGGTCTGAAATGATAGCAGCTGTTTATTAAAGAAATAACATCAAAAACAAAAACTTAAACTGTTTTCTTTGATGGAACTTATAATACTTTGCTTTTACTTTCTCATTGATCTTCAATGAGACAGTAACTGGATATGCCATCCTTGCTTTATTCCCCCAAAATGCTCAATAACTTTTCATTGTATTTTTCTTAGTATTAAGCCCCCAACGACAAGGTTCTTGTCAGACCCAATTTTGCACATCTAATGCTTATACTAAATAAACGCTTGTTCAATCTAAATAGTAATCTAAATATCAATCTATTAATTGTAAATATAAAGAAGTCATGACGAGATAGGAACAAAAGGCCCATCTTTATCAAATTAATCTCTTCTTAATTTGTTTCCACAGATTATTTTACCTTTTAATAAAAATTTAATTCAGTCACCCACTTACCTGATGTTTTCCAGCCTCGGAATTCCACATCACAAGAGACTTCTGAAAGAAATGTTTTCCGGTAGTCCTTCTAAATACAAATCATTTGAACGTGCTTCAGAGTTTTGGTCTTAAAAAAGATCTTCAAAGATCCTAAAAGATAAAACTTCTTTTTAATACCCTTAGGAAGACAGAGAAAGAAAATTATTATAGAAGATAAAGAATACAACATAAGTAGCATTTTTTTTTGAGATGGAGTCTTGCTCTGTCACCCAGGCTGGAGTACAGTGGCATGATCTCAGCTCACTGCAACCTCCACCTCCCAGGTTCTAGCAATTCTCCTGCCTCAGCCTCCCAAATAGCTAAGATTATTGACACCTGCCATCATGCCTGGTTAATTTTTGTATTTTTTAGTAGAGACGGGGTTTCACCATTTTTGGCAGGATGGTCTCAAACTCCCGATCTCAGGTGGTTCGCCCATCTCGGCCTCCCAAAGTGCTGGGATTACAAGCATGAGCCACTGGACCCAGGCTGTAAATACTATCTGGAAGCAGCCTTTTGCTACTCTCTGCTGGTGACCTGTAATAACCCTCCTCCATTGCTGCTGCACATGGGCACATTTCAGGCTACACTTTCATCTGCACTGCAACCACAAGATCAATATTCTTTACCCCTTCAATCTTGTAACCATGCTGTTTTAAAAGAAGTAACTTTCTACTGAGAATACGTGGAATATGAAATAACAATAGTAAGCAGAGGCTGGTTTAGATTAAAAGAGGCATAATAACCAAAGTTAGCACAGGAAGATTGTTTGGATCCAGATGTACAGCAAACAATGAGCTGACACCAAAAAATCATTGTTAATTTTGTCAGATGTGAGGAGATAGTGGCTGTTTGGGGACGTGCACTGAACAGGTAAAATGACGTGAAGACTCTGATTTGCTTTACAGTATTCCTGCAAAGGGAGGAAAAAAACATAGAACAAAATGTAGGACAATCTTAATGATCACAGAAATTGAGGAATAAGTATTTTAGTGTTCATAGTACTCTTTTCTCTACTTCTGAATAGGTATAGAAACTGTAATTTTAAAATTTAATAAAATAAAATGGCCAGGCACCACGGCTCATGCCTATAATCCCAACTTTTTGAAAATCCAAGGCAGGGGGATCACTTGAATCAGGAGATCAAGACCAGCCTGGCCAACATCGTGAAATCCTGTCTCTACCAAAAAAAAAAAAAAAAACTGGGTGTGGTGGCAGGCACCTGTAGTCCCAGCTACTCAGGAGGCTGAGGCAAGAGAATCAGTTGAACCCGGGAGGCAGAGGCTGCAGTGAGCTACTGCACTCCAGCCTGAACAACAGTGAGAATCTGCCTCAAGAAAAAAACAGTAAAAATGAATTTACTAATCCCTGCTCTGAAACCACATCCAAACAGAACTCTAAACAAAAACATTCAAGCAATTTACATGGTGCTATTTATATACAGATCTCCCATGCACCTCTGAATGTAATATTTAAATATTTTGCAACATGATGGCTGGAAATGGCTCAAACCTGGGCATGGTGGCACACAGCTGTAGCCCTAGATACTACTTAGGAGACTGAGGAGGATAACTTGAGCCTAGGAGTTCTAGCCCAGCCCAGAAAACATAACACGACCCCGTTTCTTTGAAAAGTCAGGGAGCTGTCAGGGAGCTCACTGATACATTATTTTGGTGTTATCAACGACTGCTATCAAAACACTACTACAAAATCCAAAATGATATCTCCTGCCAGACCTTTCTCCTTACTTCTGAACTCATTTACCAAAATGCCTCCCCCACCTCCACAACTCAACTGGAATGTCAACTTGAAATTAATTAATTAATTAATTTCTTTGTTATTAGACTGGCTTTCCTGTAACATCTAAAGACTTGTCTTAAATTCTTACTTCATGTTATTAGCATCAAATTTGAAGGCCCATAAATAAATAACAGTAAAAGATTAGAAGCTTTCAGTCATACTAGACAGTGATGTTAAATCAAACTATTCTGTTAATTCAACAAGAAAATATATAAACCTAGTTCTGACAAACTTTCTATAAAATAAAAAAGAACCATTTGTTGGGGTTGAGAGTGAAAACTGGAAGTTTTACAAAGAGGTGAGACCAACTGCAGAATGTGCTCATCGCGCATCACTGAGGCTGTCCCAATCACACCCTCTGCCTCATTATCCCCTTATTCCACTTAATTCTTTCCCAGACCATAACCCCTTCTTCCATAGTAAATATCTCCTACCTACTACACATTTCCCCACCAGATTAAATGCTCCAGAATGCATGGGGCAGGGCACTGTCTTCCACACTGCCCAGTTCCCAACACCTGACTCACAGGTACCAAATGACTTCAGGATTATGAGGTTGGAAGTAGTGATTATTTCCTCAATACTTGCAGTGGTTCACGGCAATGAAAATCCCAGGATTTCCTTTCCCCTTTCAGAGGCATTTGAACCAGAGCAACTCCATCTAAAATAGGAGCTGGGTAAAATGAGGCTGAGACCTACTGAGTTGCATTCTCAGATAGTTAAGGCATTCGAAGTCACAAGCTGAGGAAGGAAGTCAGCACAAGATACAATTCATAAAGACCTTGCTGATAAAATGGGTTGCAGTAAAGCGGCCAGCCAAAACCAAGATGGTGACAAGAGTGGCCTCTGGTCGTCCTCACTGCTACTACACTCCCACCAACACCGTGACAGTTTACAAATGCCATGGCAATGTCTCAAAAGTGGAAGCATAAAAATAATCCATTCCTGGCCAGGCTCAGTGGCTCACACCTGTAATCCCAGCACTCTGGGAGGACAAGGTGAATGGATCACCTTAGGTCAGGAGTTTCAGAGAAGCCTGACCAACATGGTGGAACCCCCATCTCTACTACAAATTAAAAATAAAATTAGCTGGGTGTGGTGGTGCACACCTGTGATCCCAGCTACTTGGGAGGCTGAGGCAGGAGAATCACTTGAGAACCTGCTTGAGAAGTAAACAAGACAGGCACGATCTGGGCTGTTAGAGCCACTGTGCCAAAGCAGGAGGAAAAAGCCAGCAGCGCTCTGTGAAAAATGAAAGGAGGATGAGTCAGTGAGCCTCGAGGCTGAGATGAGACAGTGCTCAGTGAAGTCCTCTCCAACATGATGACATTTCAACTGTGATGCTAATAGAAAGGAGAAGCACAGAAAGCCCTCAACTAACAGCAGTCCACAAACACCAGCCCTCAGCACAACAGTGCCAGGAGGCTGTGACCTGAGAAGATGAAAGGCACACAAATGACCAGAGTGGCTGGCACAGAGCAAGCACTCCACAGACGGCATGTGGGAAAAGCAGAGGAATGGCAGAGGGCAGCTCACCGATGCCCCTGCAGACCCAATCAGGGGCTGTGAGGTTTATTCCAAGGACAGTGGAAGGCACTACCTATGACAGTGCAGAGAATGACAGGCTCCACCTCCTACTTACAATGAGCCTGACCTGGCTGCTCTGTGGCATGGCTCTAACTGAGCACTGGAGGGCAGTGAAGGAGGATGGGTAGAACCTGGGCTTTGTGTTTGGGCAGAGTCAGCAGGCCTTGCAAGGCTGGATACGGGAAGGGAGACAATCATACCTCAGAGTAACTCCTGGGCATCTGGCTTGGGTAGCTGGTAGACCTAGAGAGGAGCTCATAAAGAGGGAAATGGGGACTTTGCCTGGGACACATGAAGCCTGAGGAGGGGTCAAGCAGATAGGTAAACATAGAGGTCTGGTATGAGGAGCACCTTCAGGGCCAGGAATGAGGGTCTCAAAGACACAGACAATATAATATTTTTAAGAGGTGGGCAAGGTGGGATTATCTGTAAGGAAGACATACTAAGAAGAGAGAAAGAGGCTGGGCAAAGTGGCTCATACCTGTAATCTGAGCACTTTGGGAGGCCAAGAAAGGCAGATCACAAGGTCGGAAGTTTGAGACCAGCCTGGCCAACATGGTGAAACCCCATCTCTACTAAAAAAAAAAAAATAGAAAAATCAACCAGGCATAGTGGCAAACATCTGTAATCCCAGCTACTCAGGAGGCTGAGGCAGGAGAATCGCTTGAACCAGGGATGCAGAGGTTGCAGTGAGATGAGACTGTGCCATTGCACTCCAGCCTGGGTGACAAGAGAAAGATGAAAGAGAGAGAGAGCGAGTGAGTGAGCGAGAGAGCGCTAGCTCACAATGAAGCTGCCGACTGGCACTCTCTAGTGTAGAGGATGAGGGCAGGGGCCTTCAGAGACTGAAAATGAGACAGAGAGGAGCCAAGGAAGAGTCAACAAGATTTGAACATTTTTATGCAAAATGGGGCGGGGGCAGAGAACAATAACCTAGAATTCTGCTGAGAAGCAGAATAAAAATGGGGCAGAAAGTAACTTTGGGTGGCAAAAGATGTTGAATGAAAAATTAAAACTAAGTATTCTGAAGTATTGATGAAGTATTTATGGAACAAGATAGAAAAGACAGGTTGGCTGAGGTTGTACCTTCAAATGCCCAGTGGCGGCTACTGCCGAAGCTCTCTCCGTTACTACAGAGTGGCACCCAGGTACAGGTAAAGCCCAAAGAAAAGAGGCTTCCCAATGGTGTCAATCCTCCTGCAGAAAACCTTTGACTGTACAGAAACATTTACTCAGTAAAAAGGATATGGGGTTCCATTACCCGACTCTCTCCTCTTATGCAGGATTAAAATTTCCATAATCCATGCATATTAAAAACTGTAGGATGGCTAGGCATGGTGGCTCACATCTGTAATCCCAGCAATCTGGGACACTGAGGCAGCTGAACCACCTGAGGTCAGGAGTTTGAGAGGAGCCTGAACAAGGCAAAGCCCTCTCTCCACTGAAAATATAAAATTAGCCAAGTGTGGTGGTCATGTCTACAATCCCAGCTGTCAGGAGGCTGAGGCAGGAGAATCATGGAAACTGGGAGGCAGAGGTTGCAGTGAACTGAGATCCCCCCATTGCACTCCAGTCTGGGTGACAGAATGAGACTCCATCAAAATTAGAAAAAAAAAAAAAAAAGGCCAGGCGCAGTAGCTCACGAAGCGGGTGGATCACGAAGTCAAGAGATCGAGACCATCCTGGTCAACATGGTGAAACCCTGTCTCTACTAAAAATACAAAAAATTAGCTGAGCACGGTGGCACGTGCCTGTAATCCCAGCTACTCATGAGGCTGAGGCAGGAGAATTGCCTGAACCCAGGAGGCGGAGGTTGCGGTGAGCCGAGATCGTGCCATTGCACTCCAGCCTGGGTAACGAGCAAAACTCCGCCTAAAAAAAAAAATAAAAATAAAAAATAAAAAAAAGTAAAGAGAGTCCAGGTGTAGTGGCTCATGCCTGTAATCCCAATATGTTGGGACGAGGAGGAATCTACTCAGGTCTGGAGTTTTAGGCTAGTCTGGCCAAAATGATGAAAACCCATCTCTACTAAAAATACAAATATTAGCCAGGCATGGTGGCAGGTGCCTACAATCCCAGCTATTTGAAAAGCTGAGGCAAGAGAAATGCTAGAACCTGGGAGGTGAAGGTTGCAGTGAGCCAAGAGAGTGCCACTCTGTATTCCAGCCTGAGCAACAACACTGAAACTCCATCACCAAAAAAAAAAAAAAAAAAAAACAGTAAGAGAAAGCTTGAGCTGAGTCCTACTCATTGTATTTACTTTCCTAAGATAAAACATCATGAAAAACATTACCACCAGGTGTGGTGGCTCACATCTGTAATGCCAGCACTTTGGGAGGCCAAAACATGGGAATCACAGAATGAGGAGTTCAAGACAAGCCTGGCCAACATGGTGAAACCCATCTCTACTAAAAAAAATACAAAAATTAGCCATACATGGTGGTGTGTGCCTGTAATCTCAGCTACTTGGGAGAGTGAGGCAAGAAAATTACTTGAATCTGGGAGGCGGAGGTTGCAGAGAGCCACTGTACTCCAGCCTGGATGACAGAGCAAGACTCCATATAAAGAAAATGAAACAAAACAAAACAAAACGAAAGACATTACTCAGTAATATACTTTAAAGGAGGAAAAAAGGCTTACCAATGTTTTTTGCGGAAAAGCTCATCTACTGTCTTTCTTAATTTGATGATTCTGGTACACCATTCTTCCTTTGCTGTCAAAAATCACAAAAATACAAGTTTTCTCAATGTAATGGGTTTACTAACTTGGGTTGTTAAAATATTGTTATTATTATTATTATTTTTTAAGACGGGATTTCACCATGTTGGTCAGGCTGGTCTTGAACTCCCGACCTCAGGTCATCCGCCCAGCTTGGCCTTCAAAGTGCTTGATTACAGGTGTGAGCCACCATGCCCAGTCTAAATATTATTATTATAAAATAGGTAGCATTTTTTCGTTCCTGTGACTAAAATTATTTCTAAGATTCCAGAATGTACTTATCACTGAAACAATGCTAACACTGAACAAAAAAAGGAAGAACCGGACATTCATTAACGCTGGAAAAAAGCACAACTCGGTGTGCTCAAGAACAGCTACCAGGCCAGGCACAGTGGCTCACGCCTATAATCCCGGCACTTTGGGAGGCCAAAGCGGGCAGATCACCTGAGGTCAGGAGTTCAAGACCAGCCTGGCCAACATGGTGAAACCCCACCTCTACTACAAATACAAAAATTAGGCAGCCATGGTGGCAGGTGCCTGTAATCCCAGCTACTTGAAACATGAAGTAGGAAGATTTGCTTGAACCCAGAAGGTGGGAGGATACAGCAAGCTGAGATCTTGCACTGCAGTCCAGCATGGGCAACCCAGCAAAACTCCATCTCAATAAACAAACAAACAAACAAACAAAGAGCTAGCAGGCAACATTTGCTATGGGAAGACTAGGAACATGAACTTGCTGGCAATCTAAAATTTAGATTTCAGTAAATCTAAACATTTTAATTTCATTCTGTTTTGTCCCTACACCATGCCAGAGCCAAAACTAGTGAGAAAATCAATTCTATTTCTTTGAAAACGCATCTAACAATTAAGACATGAGTGAAAACTCTGTCTCACAAAGGAAAAAACATTCCTCTGGGAAGTCCTTCTACATAAAGGTCTTCAACATGAGACTGGAGAAAAGGGTACAGGATCATCAACAGACCAGTGGCTTTTATTGTTTGAGCTGTAAGGACAAAAAGAAAAAGGGAGATCATTTAAACACAACCTGTATTGCTCTTTAACTTTTCATTTTTCAGATGGAGTCTCGCTCTGTCACCAGGCTGCAGTCAAGTGGCGCAATCTCAGCTCTCTGCAACCTCCATGTCCCGGGTTCAAGTGATTCTCCTGCCTAAGCCTCCTGAGTAGCTGGGACTACATGTGCCCGCCACCATGCTCAGCTAATTTTTATACTTTCAGTAGAGACGAAATTTCATCATGTTGGCCAGGATGGTCTCGATCTTCTGACCTTGTGATCCACCCGCCTTGGACTCCCAAAGTGCTTGGATTACAGGCATGAGCCACTGAGCCAGGCATTGCTCTTGAACTTTTATAATTTGATCTTTACTTCTGTTATTGTAATTCAGTCCAAAGAAAAATAGTGTGAGAAAAATAAAAATAACACCAAAAATGCTAATATTCTGTTCATCAAAGTTTGCAGTGAAATATCCCATTACAGCCAGGCAGGGTGACTTACCTCTGTAATCCTAGCACTTGGGAGGCCAAGGCAGGTGAATCGCCTGAGGTCAGGAATTGGAGACCAGGCTGGCCAACATGGCAAAACCAAATCTCTATGAAAAATACACAAATTAGCCAGTTATGGTGGTGAGTGCTTGTCATCTTACCTACTTGGGAAGCTGAGATAGGAGAATCACCTAAACCTAGGAGGCAGAGGTTGCAGTGAGCTAAGATCACCATTGCACTCTAGCATGGGTGACAAGACCAAAACTCCAGCTCAAAAAGAAAAGAAAAGATCGGTAGATCCCATTACTTTAAGGCAATGTAGATACAGCCAAACTGTCTACAGAAATCTGAACCACATTATAAAGTGAGAAAAACATACCAGCTAATATTATTTAATACATATAGTACTAAATGGAAGAGGTAATATTTTCAAAACATAAACATGAGTGTAACCTTATTGGACTTACAAAAATAATTTTTTTAATAACTGAAACAGAAGATTCCCTGAACTGCAACTTTTAAGCTAGCATTTATTTACTCAAGATTCAACTAATATAACAGCTATAAAAAGTCAAGAGTTGGGCTGGGCATGGTGGCTCATGCCTCTATCCCCACATTTTGGGAAGCTGAGGCAGGCAAATCACCTGAGGTAGACCGTTCCAGACTAGCCTGACCAACATGAAAAAACCCATCTCTAATAAAATATAAAATTAACTGTGGCATATGCCTGTAATCCCAGCTACTCTGGAGGCTGAGGCAGAAGAATAGCTTGAACCCGGGAAGCAGAGGTTGCAGTGAGTCGAGATTGAGTCGAGATTGAGCTATTGCCCTGCAGCCTGGGCAACAAGAGCAAAACTCCATCTCAAAAAAGAAAAAAGTCAAGTGTTAGCCAGGTGGGAGTGGCTCGCACCTGTAACCCCAGCACTGAGGGAGGTCAAGGTGGGTGGATCCCCTGAGGTCAGGAGTTTGAGACTAGCCTGGCAAACATGGTGAAACCCCATCTCTACCAAAAATACAAAAATTAGCTGGGCATGGTGGCACTCACCTGTAGTCCTAGCTACTAGGGAGGCTGAGGCAAGAGGATAAATTCAACCTGAGAAGTGGAGGTTTTGGTCAGCTGAGATCACACCACTGCGCTCCAGCCTGAGTGAAAGAGCAAGACTCTGTTTCAAAGAAAAAAAGAAAAGTCAAGAGCATGGGGAATATTCAAATCAAACATAATCAACAGTCTCCCATCAAAACAGCTCCATTTCTTTGCTATCAGTATGTGTTAAGGTCTATCTGCTAAACACTGACATTTGTACTCATGTTTCAAGTGCACATTAGTGCTTAGATTTAATATCCTTTGCTGTACACTAAACTTGAATATCATACTTTCATATTACAAAAAAAGTATCTTTCCCTAAGGCAATTACCATTAATAATGCTTTAAAATTATAAAGTGTGAAAATAGTTTTTATAATTTCACTTTTTATAATTTCACAACAGCTGAACATTGTCTTTAAACAAAATAATCTAATAAACCACCATCACAACAAAATCCCCACAACATAATCAGTTTCACCTGATAAAAGCACTGATATTTATAAAAATTATCAGTCAATTTATAAAACAGTGAATTCATAAAACTTGAATAGCAAATGATTTTTACTCAGAATAGTACTAAATTAACAATATCATAAAATCATAGGCCAGATGTAGTGGCTCACACCTGAATTTTCAGCACTTTGTGAGGCCAAGCCGGGTAGATCACTTGAGGTCAGGAGTTCAAAACCAGTCTGGCCAACATGGTGAAACCCTGTCTCTACTAAAAATACACAGGTTAACTGAGCATGGTGGTACACGCCTGTGATCCCCGCTACTTGGGAGACTGAGGCAGAAGAATTGCTTGAAACCATGAGGCAGAGGTTGCAGTGAGCCGAGATCTCATGCCACTGCACTTCAGTCAGTGCAACAGAGCAAGATTCTGCCTCAAAAAATAAATAAATAAGGAAATTAAAACATAAGCAAGATGCATTTATTATATATTTATATACCCGGTATTATGTGAAGCAGTGTAGCATGCTATCAAATCTTTGAGATAGATCTTCAGTTCTCATGACCACTAAAGAGCATACTAAGGCTCAGACAGAATAAGAGACTTGGCCAAGCTCTTATTCTCATGATCTGCCCACCTTGGCCTCCCAAAGTGCTGGGATTACAGGCATGAGCCACCATGCCCAACCAAATACCGAATTTAACAAAGCAGATAAAGAGAAAACATTAGTTTAAAAAAAATTAATGAAATCCCTAAGATCCAGGGCTTTGCAATAAATATGTACATAAATCGCCAATATTCATGCTGAAAGTTTAAAAGAAATGCTAACTGATAATTTAAGAAATACAATTTTTCCTTAGCTTTACAGTAATCTAGAAAGAAAGAAAGTTTCTAATATTTAGACAGACACTACAAGATGAACAGTGACTCCACTGTATAAACACTCATGAACAAAGTATTACAGGACTTTTCTAGTTTAGACATACCATATTTTCTTTCAGATAGTTCTTCAATGTGTTTACATAGATCAGCGATACCATGATTGCATTTCTCTGAAAATTGAGCAAAGGTTGATTGTCAATGATATGTCCCTACGTCAGAGCAACATTAACGTATAATGACTTATTTCCTATATTTTACATCTCAACAGTCCATATCATTTTACTGCTTTTGAAAAAATGTTTCCCTTTTTTGGTGGTTCTTATAATTAGTTTAATTGGAGACTGTAAGAAAAGTTTTAAAGTTTAGTACCTCTTTTTATCCTTTTAATTTCTGAAAAGGAGGAGGGCAGAAAAGATCCATCAAATTAAATAACAAGGAGGCCACAACGACAATGTCTCCAGGGGTCTTTTAGCAAACTTCCTAAAACATGTCTCACTTCTGTGGAAATAAGGCTTTACAGCAGCCAGTGAGGTGATGTAGGCCTGTAATCCTAGCACTTAGGGAGCAGAGGTAAGTGGATCGCTTTGAGCTGAGGGCAACATAGCAGAAACTTCAGTCCCCTCCCCCACCTTCCACTGCCCCATCCATGTGCCCATCTCATCCAAAAATACAAAACTTAACCAGACATGGTGGCAGGCACCTGTAGTCCCAGGTACTCAGGAGGCTGAGGTAGAAGAATCACTCGAACCCAGGAGACAAATGTTGCAGGGAACGAAGACTGCAGCCAGCCTGTGCAAAAGAGCAAGACTCCATGTCAAAAAAGAAAAAGAAAAAACAAGTTTAAGAGGAACCCCAAAGCAAAAATCCCAACCCTTTTCCTCCCAATCACTGAAACACCAGGAAGGTGTAATAGTTTTGCAGCATACCTGTAATAGGCTGATAGTGACCCCCCAAGATGCTCATAACCTAATCCCAGGAACCGGTGAACATGACCTCATATGGTAAAAGGGGCTTTAGAGATATAATGAAGTTAAGGACTTTTGGCCAGGAAGATTATTCTGGCTTGTCACAGTGGGGTTGATGTACTCACCCAGATCCTTACCAGAGCAGAGCAGGTGATGGAGAGCGATGGGAAGTGTAGTGATGGAAGCAGGTACCTCCAGTCATTCAAGAAGGGCAGCACAAGCTGAGGATTCCAGGAAGCCTCCAGGGCCAGAAACTCATTCTCCTTCAGAGCCTGGGAAGGTACCTGCCCTGCTCCCACCTTGAGTCAGTGGGACTGACTTTAGAATTCTGGCCTTCAGAACATAAGCGAATACATCTGTGTTGCTTTTTTTTTTTTTTTTCCAGACAGAGTTCCCCTCTTTTTACTTAGGCTGGAGTGTGATGGCACGATCTCGGCTCACTGCAACCTCCACCTTCCAGGTTGAAGCAATTCTCCTGCCTCAGCCTCCTGAGTAGCTGGGATTACAGGCATGCACTATCACACCCAGCTATTTTTATATTTTTATTAGAGGTGGAGTTTCTCCATGTTGGTCAGGCTGGTCTCGAACTCCCAACCTCAGGCGATTCGCCTGCCTCAGCCTCCCAGAGTGGATTACAGGCATGAGCTACCATGCCCAGCTACGTCTATGTTGTTTTAAGCCCTAAGTGTGTGGTAATTTGTTGCAGCAGAAACAGGAAACTAGTATCGTAGTGAAGCCTCAAAACCCACCTGAAGGGGCTGGGTGCTGTGGTTCATGCCTGTAATCCCAGCATTTTGGGAGGTCAAAGTGGGCAGATCACTTGAGGACAGAAGTTCGAGACCAGCCTGGTCAACATGGTGAAACCCTGTCTCTGCAAAAAAACTAGCTGGTGTGGTGGCATGGCACATGCCTGTAATCTCAGCTACTTGGAAGGCTAAGACATGGGAACAGTTTGAACCTGAAGAGGGGGAGGCGGAGGTTGTAGTGAGCCAAGATTTTTGCCACTGCACTCCAGCCTGGGTGAGAGAGCCAGACTTCATCTCAAAACACACCTGGCTAATTTTTGTGTTTTTAGTAGAGACAGGTTTTGCCATGCTGCCCAGGCTCTACTCAAACTCCTGGCCTCAAGTGATCCACCTGTCTCAGCTTCCCAAAGTGCTGGGATTACCGGTGTGAGCTATGGCACTCAGCACTCACCAAGGCCTTTGACAACATGCTTTTCCAGGTGATCAGTCCTTGTCTGGTCTGGCTCTGCCACACTCTCCACTACACCAAGTTGGAATCCTTAGCTACTTTTCAGAAGAGGAGGGTGTGTACTTTAATTCCAGCTCGGTATGGTTCAGATCTGCATTTAACTCATGGAAACTGGCTGCTTCCCAGGCCCTGGAGAAAAAAAGGGTCTCTGTGGGTATGATACAGGATGAGCCAAGATCATGCCACTGCACTCCAGCCTGGGCTACAACAGCGAGACTCCATCTCAAGAAAACAAAAACAAAACAAAACAGACTCCATCTAAAAGAAAAACAAAGACAAAACAAAAACAAATGTGGCACAGCAAAAAAAATAATTATTGTGTTAAAGACAGTTTCATAGAAAATAAAAGACAATACAACAAGCTGTCTTTTTAGATTAGTACAATTGTTATTCTTATTTTACAGCTAAAAAAAATGAGCTCAGGGCAAGTGTGGTGGCTCACATCTGTAATCACAGCATTTTGAGAGGCTAAGGCAGGTGGATCATGAGGTCAAGAGATCAAGACGATCTCTGCCAAAATGGTGAAACCACATCGCTACTAAAAATACAAAAATTAGCTGGATGTGGTGGCACGTGCCTGTAGTCCAAGCTACTCAGGAGGCTGAGGCAGGAGAATCAGTTGAACCCGAGAGGTGGAGGTTGCAGTGATCCAAGATGACACCACTGCAAAAGAGCAAGACCCTGTCTCTAAAAAATAAAAAATAAATAAAATAAGTAAAAGAGAAACAGGCTCAGAGAATGTTATTTGATTGGACCATCTTGCATCTCTGGACAGAGAAGCTGAGATCAGACTTCATGTGTAACTCCCCTAGCCTACCACAGTGCCTCTCATAAAAGGAAGACATATAACTTTGGCCTAATATACAAAGATGCTGGAACAGTCAATTCTACATACAGTACTTCCATGTTCATCAAGGGAAACCTTAAGGGAAGGTGAAAATGCTTCTTGAAGGGACTGGACACCAGTGCCCTTACTTGTTGCCTTTGGGCTCTTCCTCCAAGGGTAACGGTGACCTGAAATTACTGACTGTTCCAATCAACGGGAGGAAATGGTATCAAGGTCACCAACATCAGGCAAATTCACTTGAGGACCTATCTGTGTGCTTTGACAGACAAAAACTGCTTTTGTAAAGGATACTGTATTTCAGAAAAACATAGTCACATTAACAACTAATAACACTGTAAAGTGCTGTTGTGTTGAATGCTACTTTAGAAAAATATGCTCAAATGTAGGGAAAAAATTGTGATAGAAAACTACTTATCAAGGATCTAGCTAACTATCTAGAGACATGGTCTCATTCTTTTGCTCAGGATGGAGAGCTGTGGGATGACCCTACTCACTGCAGACCTGCTCCTGGCCTCAGGTGATCCTCCTGCCTCAGCATCCTAAGTGGTAGAAGACACAAGTGGACACAGTTACCCCTGCCTTTTTTATTTGTTTTGTAGAATCAGGGTTTCACTACATTGCCCAGGCTGGTCTCAAACTCTGGAGTCTCACTCTGTCAACCAGGCTAGGGTTCAGTGATGTGATCTCGACTAACTGCAACCCCTGCCTCCTGGGTTTAAGCAATTCTCCTGTCTCAGCCTCCCGAGTAGCTGGGACTACAGGCATGTGCCACCACATGCCGCTAATTTTTGTAGAAACTGGGTTTCATCACGTTGGCTACACTGATCTCGAACTCCTGGCCTCAGGTGATCCACCTGCCTTGGCCTCCCAAAGTGCTGGAATTACAGGTGTGAGCCAGGAAGCCAAGCCACGGACTTTGTTATTAAATAGCCTAAACCAAGTGGGGCGCCGTGGCTCACACCTTTAATCCCAACAACTCTGAAGGCCAAGGTAAGATGGCTTGTACTCAGGAGTTCGAGACCGGCTTGGGCAAAATGGGAGCATCTCCCCCTCCCATCTCTACAAAAAAATACAAAATATTAAGTCAGGCATGCACTGTGCCTGTCTACTTTTTGTATCTTTTGTAGAGATGGGGTTTTGTCATGTTGCTCAGGCTGGTCTCACACTCCTGATTCCAAGCCATCATCCCGCCTCAGCCTCCCAAAATGCTGGGATTACAGGGCCCAGGCAGCCTCAATTTTTCTTTAAGCAGTCCCCCAATGTTGCACGCTTGGATAGTTTTCTTTTTTATTTATTTATTTTTTTTTGAGACGGAGTTTCGCTCTTGTTACCCAGGCTGGAGTGCAATGGCGCGATCTCGGCTCACCGCAACCTCCGCCTCCTGGGTTCAAGCAATTCTCCCGCCTCAACCTCCTGAATAGCTGGGATTACAGGCACGCGCCACCATGCCCAGCTAATTTTTTTTGTATTTTTAGTAGAGACGGGGTTTCACCAGGTTGACCAGGATGGTCTCGATCTCTTGACCTCATGATCCACCCGCCTCGGCCTTCTTTTTTATTTTTTTAGACATGGTTTACCTCAGTCTCGCAGGCTGGAGTGCCGTGGTAGAATTATGGCTCGTTGCAGCCTTAAACCTTGGGGTTCAACGAGCTGGGAGGCTGAGGTGGGATTACAGAAATGGGGTCACACCACTTTGCTAGGCTGCTCTTGAACTCCTGGCCTGAAGAAAACTTCCCACCTCCCCAGTGTCCGGACACACTTTTTCTATTTTTTAACCCACATAAATACTGTGCTGGGTCGGAGTTTGTTACCTACCCTTCTCCAGCCAGCAGCACAGAGGATGCAGCAGAAGATGGAGGTTACCGGACTCTGCTCTGGGGACAAGACAACACAGCTCCTAGGCAACACACCTTCGTGTGAAGTCGCGTAAGGCTCGCCTCTGTGACGTCGCCGGAGGCCCGTCTCCGTGCGCCGTGATGTTACCGGAGGCGCCCGCCGTGACGTCACCAGAGGCGCCCGCCGTGACGTCACCGGAGGCGCGCCGCCATGATGTTTTCAGAGGCCGGCCCCTCACTCGGAGCCAATCGGAAGTAGAGGCGGTGCCGCTGGGTCTTCCAGGAGCGCGCATGCGCAGGCTGGTGATGGAAGCCGCTGCAGAGCCGGTACATCCGCATAGACAGGCTCCCGACTGGCTGCAGTCACCTATAAACTCCAAAGAGGACTTTTAAGATTTCCCAGTCTGCAGGGCCAGGTGTGGCAGGGACCCGACTCAGAGAGCAGATGCTGCCCACCAACCTCCCGGCGCCTGGTGGACAGGAGTGCAAGGTCGCGCAGAAGAAGCTCCTCAATGGACAGTGAAGGGCTACCAGTGTCACTGCTACCCCGGACACGTATTCTTGCCTCAGCCTAGGTACGTGCGACCCCTAATACCTTTCCCAGCCAGGGACCCCAGGACCTCAGGATGAGCAGGGCAGGGCAGGGCAGGGCAGGGCAGGGCAAGGCAAGGCAGGGCAAGGCAAGGCAATTCGAGTCATGGCAAGGCAGGGCAGGGCAGGGCAATTCCAGGCAAGGAAATTCAAGGCAAGTCACTCGCAGAGCACTACACTTTAAGGCAGGGGTCAGATCCAAGGCATAGGGCTTGTGCTGTCTCTCTAGGTGACCAATCCGGGAGCAGGGCAAAACCTCGATCTTCCCTCCACACTGCCACACCTGCGGAAGACAAAAAAGATCACCTGTGCTTCACAGTCAGTGAATTGCATAGCTTACTGACACAGGAGACTACATTTTAGAACCATTTTTAAAGAATGTATATTCAGTCCTCCCACTCCTGTCTTTATATTGCCTCCTATCCTTCTTATCTGACTCATCATTCCTTAGAAGTTTACCAAACTGCTTCTCTCCTGACATCCAAACAACTGCTGAAATCATACTTCCTTCAGGAAGTCTTCCTAAATGGACCAAAGGAGGGGCAGCCTCTGCTCCCTTATCCCCAAGGAAAGTACCCATGTCCTGAGAGGTGCCATACCCTGAGCCACTCTCACTGCACTAAGTTTCTCATGCCCCTTCTCTGCCTGCACACTAGACATAGGGCAGTGTGGCAGACAGACACCAAAGTGACCCCGTGATGCTTTGCCCCTGGCTGCCAGCTGTGGAATGATGGAGTAGGTCGAGCCCCAATTTATTCATCTGCGAAAAGGGCACAACCACTATTTGAGTTGTCAGCATGAGTTGTCAGCAGGATTAAATGCCATAGCAAGGAATCAGCTACGGCAGGCTCTGAGATAACTTGAGGTACACCTTCTCTTTTGTTATCCTTCTCTGGCTCTCCTCATTGGTCCCCAGAATCATGTGGAGGTTACATCCCACTTGCACTCAGGTATTATTCTTTCTAGCCAAACATTCAAAAATCGAATACAACCTTACTCCAATTTTCCTAGTTGATGAAGGTTTTCAACTCATAAATTAGGGGCAAAAAATTAACTGTTGGCATAAAAAAAATCTTAAATTCAAGTTAAAAGTCAAGATTGCCTAGGCTGGGCATGGTGGCTCATGCCTGTAATCCCAGCACTTTAGGAGGCTGAGGCAGGCAGATCACTTGAGGTCAGGAGTTTGAGACCAGCCTGGCCAACATGGTGAAACCCCGTCTCTACCAAAAATACAAAAATTAGCCAGGTGCGGGATGTGCATCTGTAATCCCAGATGCTCAGGAGGCTGAGGCAGGAGAATCACTTGAACCTGGGAGGCAGAAGTTGCAATGAGCCTAGATCACGCCACTGCACTCCTGCCTGGGGAATAGAGTGAGTGTCTCAAAAGAAACAAAAAGATTGCCGTTTATGAAATAATGCTCATAATTAGCTTTCCCCAAAATTTTTCAAACTCTGCTCTTCCAATTTAGTCCCAGTTGCTAAACTCCTTTCATCATTTATCTTTTTTTCTCTCTCTTTCTCACACCCACATATAGAGACATTAAGCTTCTCATGATAATATTACTTTGTGCCATACACTCTCCTAACACTTTCCATAAATTTAATCCTCCCCATGCCGGTATCCCCCTTTAAGTAACCTGTCCACGTTTATCAGCTAGTAAATGGCAGAGCTGCACTGTGAACCCAGGCAGTCACATGTTCAGTTCTGGCACAGTGCATGAATACACAAGGTGCTCAACAAATGTTGTTTTGTTGTTTTTGAGACAGAGGTTCATTCTTGTTGCCCAGACTGGAGTGCTATGGTGTAAGCCCAACTCACAGCAACCTCTACCTCCTAGGTTCAAGTGATTCTTCTGCCTCAGCCTCCCAAGTAGCTGGGATTACAGGCATACACCACCACACCCAGCTAATTTTGTATTTTTAGTAGAGACGAGGTTTCTCCATGTTGGTCAGGCTGGTCTTGGACTCTCAATCTCAGGCAGTCCGTCCACCTCAGCCTCCAGAGTGCTGAGACTACAAGCTTGAGCCACCACACCCCACCCCATCTCCCTTCTTTTTTTTTTAATTGCATTTTAGGTTTTGGGGTACATGTGCAGAACATGCAAGATAGTTGCATAGGTACACACGTGGCAGTGTGATCTGCTGCCATCCTCCCCTTCACCAACATCTGGCATTTCTCCCCATGCTATCCCTTCCCAACTCTCCCCCCCCGCTGTCCCTCCTCTATTCCCCCCAATAGACCCCAGTGTGTAGTGCTCCCCTCCCTGTGTCCATGTGTTCTCATTGTTCATCACCTGCCTATGAATGAGAATATGCGGTATTTCATTTTCTGTTCTTGTGTCAGTTTGCTGAGAATGATGTTCTCCAGATTCATCCATGTCCCTACGAAGGACATGAACTCATCGTTTTTGATTGCTGCATAGTATTCCATGGTGTATATGTGCCACATTTTCCCAGTCCAGTCTATCATCGATGGGCATTTGGGTTGGTTCCAGGTCTTTGCTATTGCAAACAGTGCTGCAATGAACATTCGTGTGCATGTGTCCTTATAGTAGAATGATTTATAGTCCTTTGGGTATATACCCAGTAATGGGATTGCTGGGTCAAATGGAATTTCTATTTCTAGGTCCTTGAGGAATCGCCACACTGTCTTCCACAATGGTTGAACTAATTTACACTCCCAACAGCAGTGTAAAAGTGTTTCTATTTCTCCACATCCTCTCCAGCATCTGCTGTCTCCAGACTTTTCAATGATCGCCACTCTAACTGGTGTGAGATGGTATCTCAATGTAGTTTTGATTTGCATTTCTCTAATGACAAGTGATGATGAGCACTTTTTCATATATTTGTTGGTCTCATATATATCTTCTTTTGTAAAGTGTCTGTTCATATCCTTTGCCCATTTTTGAATGGGCTTGTTTGTTTTTTCTTGTAAATCTCTTTTAGTTCTTTGTAAATTCTTGATATCAGCCCTTTGTCAGATGGGTAAACTGCGAAAATTTTTTCCCGTTCTGTTGGTTGCCGATTCACTCTAATGACTGTTTCTTTTGCTGTGCAGAAGCTGTGGAGTTTGATTAGGTCTCATTTGTCTATTTTGGCTTTTGTTGCCAATGCTTTTGGTGTTTCTTAACTTTTTCTGCCTATCATCTCCATTTACACACATTAATGAGCACCATCCCTGCCATGGCCACTAGATGTCAGAATAAAGCACTCCATGGAGCTCTGATGTCCAAGATCTACTACTGGATAAAGATCTTAGTAAGTGCTTAGATGTTTTAAAACACAAATAGTAACACACAAACCAAGAAGCTGGATATAAGCAGAACTGCTTGATCCAAGGAAAAAGGGTGACTGTATATTTTAATAAAAGTCCATTTTTAAGATTACAAAATATTAAAGAAATAGAATTTCTTGTAGAAACTGAAATGGCAGTGTTCTATGTGTATTTGAGAGAATGAAAACAGAGAGACTCAGCCTAGATGTGGAAGAGGAGAACAAAGCATAAGGAACTCAGAAATAACGGCTTTGGGTCCTAAGTTGAAGAATTGGGGTTCCAGCCAAATTCACCTAAAGCTCTGGTAGATAAGAAAACCCAGCCACAAAGTCTGGGGCCACCCTCAAGACTTTGCTAAGTATCATATGTAAGTAATTCTTTTTGCATTTGTATTTTGTATGTTAGAGACTACGTGCACTCCTGATGTCTATTCTGCTCTACATCTACAATTACAGAACAGACATCTGGGCACATAACCCACTAACTAAAGTCTAAACTTCCCAGACTCCTTTGCACACAGGTGTGGCCATGTGACCAGGTAATGATCAATAGAATGTGAAAAGAAACAATATACACAACTTTCAAATAGTGCTCTTAGAAAGAAAGAGCTTGCTTTCTCTTTCCCCCTTTTCTCTTCCTACTGGCTAGAATACAAATATGGTGTTGAATGTGGCTGGACCACAAACTAAAACTCTTGGTCCCTCTCACCCTCGAGCTGCCATATCAATCCTGAACTGCTTATGTGCAGTAAGTTATAGGAAAGAGAAACTACTTTCTATCATGTTGAAGTTTCTGTTATTTTAGCCTGTCAGAGAAGCTGAATGAGCATTCTAATTAATATTATTATAAAGTCATATAAAATTCATTTTTACATTTTGACTGTACTATCATTCTTATGAAATACATTAAACAATATGTTTCTCTTCATTTCACAAATGGGAAAACTGATCGAGACCACTGTATTTGTCTGTTTTCACACTTCTATAAGGAACTATCTGAGACTGCGTAATTTATAAAGGAAAGAAGTTTAATTGACTTACAATTAAATTTAAATGACTTACATGGCTGGAGAGGCCTCTGGAAAATTACAATCATGGCAGAAGGCAAAGGGAAAGCAAGGTACCCTCTTCACAAGGTGGCAGGAAGAGAAATGAGTGCAGGAGGAACTACCAAACACTTAGAACCATCAGATCTTATGAAAACTCACTATCGGGAGAACAGCATGGGGGAAACCCGCCCATGATTCAATTATCTTCACCTGGCCTTTCCTTTGACATGTGAGGATTACAGGGATTATAATTTAA